ATCTCCCCAAAACCCCAAAACCCCAAAACCCCAAAACCCCGAAATATTTAAAAATAGCTGAATCTTATAATTTTAAATATGTCAAGATACATAAGGCTTTCGAAAGAAGCAGATAATATGGATGAGAATACTCTCCTTGAAAGCCAGATTGACCAGCTCACGAAGTTAAAAGAATACGACTACTTCTGGAAGTGCTTCAGAACTCTATGTTGTAAGAGAGTCAATTGTGCTAGGAAATGAAACTTGTGTTATTATATTGACCAAAGTATGTCAGGAGAGCTGAGATGTCTGTGCTATATTGCCTTTTTCCCTCTTATTTTGATCATGGTTATTCTTAAGCTGTTACAACGAGCCTTTGACGTTCTCACCAAGATCCCTAATGGCAAGAGAAAAAGGTGGATATGACTGTATTTTGTTTGAATTGTAGTCTTTGTAGTCTGTACATCTATAACTGTAGTTGTGATCTTCATCGTCAGAGACGAGGAAGAAAGTATTGAAAGATACCTCACTACTAATGCCTTTACTAATTTTCAAAGCATTTCGGACGCTACTGCCCAGATAAAGAAAACTGAGCTACAGGAGATAGTCAGGGAGTCATTGATTCTGGATACCTTATACTCAATTATACTTTATAATTCTGGGTACTACTCTACAAATTATATCGGCAAGGCTGCTAATGCTGATAGTCTTAAGAGTAGTACTGAATGAAGTGGTACTGGAGATACTGGAGATACTTCTTATTACGACAATAATTATATGTGCTATTATATTTTCCCACTCGAAATGAGCGAAACTATTATTGTAGACTACACACCAGCTGATAAAGAGCTTGATGAATGAAAATATCTTCAGTATTGGCTGAACCCTATGTTTGATTTTAAAGTGTTGAGCATCACTAAATTTATGTACGCTAAGTTTTACATTGGATTGGAATTTTATACTTTGTTTTAAATTAACTTCTCAAAAATATCCTGAGAATTTCTTCTCAGAAAATTTTTTACCCCTATTTTGCTTAAATAATAATGGCATTTTGTATAGGTACTATATTGGATTTGACACTGAACTATTATGCCAATCACCTTCTGCATATAAGAATTATCATATTGGTCCACCTTCATCTACGTCTAGAATTGGGCATGACTTTGAGAAGAACTCAAGTGTGTATTTTACAAGTATTAGAAGTTGGTATGATGCAGCATTACAACAAACAGGTTTCGCATCATATGTCTCTACATATATATTCGCTAGTAGTGGAAATGTCGGATCTACCCTGAGCCAGACCGTCCTCGACTCATATAACGTTGCTAGGTCTGTACTTGGGTTTGATATAATTCCTTACTCAAGCTTTGATGAGAACGATCCTTTGTTGTCTAAGTTATTGTTTGATCAGTCTTCACAGTCATTCGACTATTTCATGATTAACTCAGAGAAGGCAGTTACTGGAAACTATGATAAAGACTCTATAGTTGATGACTTGGTCAGGATGATTTATCTCAATCCAGGTGATACTACCACAGAAACAGCAGCTAAGAAGACTGAAATTTCAAATTCGTTTAAAATTGAGTCCTTTGAAGACCTCAAAGGAGTAAAAATTGAATACATTTCATATACCTTTCAAGGCGATAAAAAGTACCTCTTCTTCAGTGACGTTGATTTATATGAAGCTAGAAGAGACGGAACTTATCAAATAAGAAATGTTAACAGGCTAGGATTTACAGGAAGCTCCAATGCACTTGAAGGAGATCTCAGAGATACTATCAATAATGCTACTGCTAATGTCATATGGGTTCATGTGCTTGGTGCCTTTATAATAATTCTTATTGGTATAATTGTTGGTGTCTTTGCAAGTCGAATCTTTGCTAACACTCTTGTTGACCCATTCATCAATCTATGCATCAAGATGAAAATCGCTCAAAATGAACAATCAAGAATAAGGAAGATGCAACATCAGAAGAAGATCCATCTCTCTGATGCTGAACTGATGATTGCTTCAAAGACAGATTCTAAGCCAAGAAATGAGTTCCAAAAGTTATACGAGAAGATTGAGAATGCTCTGAAAGTATTTAAAATGAAAAATTTTAAACTCCTAGAAGGAGCTGAGAAGAAATACTACAATCTGGCTAAGATACGATACCAACAGATCCTGGAGATCTACATTAAAATGGATGAAGACTTACCGAGCATCAGAGCCAAGAAGCTTAACAATCAACAACTGGTTGAGATCTGTGATAATGTAAGATTGTCTGGTTAATTTATAGCTCATAAAATACAAGAGGATTCAAAGGAAGTGATACAACAACATTGGGTGTCTGAATTACGCAATGGAGGAGTACGATGAAGCCATGAAATATTTTGAAAAAGCTTGCATTGAGAAAGATTTTGAAGAGAACATAGCTCACGACGTGATTAGTTCAGAAAGTTCTACCAAGCTCGAGAGTAACACTATCGAAGCATTGGAAATTGGATCACGGCTTTTGAATTATGCTAGAACTTTCATTAAGAAGGCTGAGTGATTAGCTGAGAAAAACGAGAGTGAGAAAGATGAGAGGGAAATTCAAAGGAGAAAGAAAACAATTAGTGGTCTCTATCAATCAGCCATCCAAAAAATCAACCAGGCCTCAAAGAACACTGTTCAAAGTGAGGTATAGTACATTCCAATAGAAGAAGCTCCATAATTTTCTTGAACCAGCCCAAAATCATCTTCTGAAATTTCTTTTCACCAGATTTAGAACTATTTTTAAAGATAAATTTTAGGTAGGAAGAGAGATAGAAATACTCTCATCTCTTCTTCTGGTGCGTGCAAACATGTACAATGAAACCCCTGAAGCAAAGGAAGAAGCAATTCAGAACTTTTATGCATTGTTCAGTTGGGTCAAAAAGTCATCAGATGTGAAGAACAAAGAGAAAAGAGGTGAATTCGATACACTTAGTGAAATCCTTGAGCAGACTTATCATTATTATGAGGCAGCATTGTTCTTTGATCATTTAAAGAATCTTAGGAAGAACCTAGAAATAAGACCAAGTATAACTTTGTCAGCCATTACATCTCAAAGTAAGAATTAGTTTAATCCTATAGGAGATACTTCGTTCCATCCGAACTTCAGGAGTACAAAGTTGAATAAGCTTGATGAGCCTAGCTGTATCTTGCAGATTTCTTCTAATTTGGCGGCTTCTCTTTGAGGGACGTATTACATTGATCCTTACATATACCGCAGAAGTCTTGAGTTGTATCAGGAGTTTCTTGCTTCGATTCTTCGCAAGCCTGAAATAGAAAGTAAGAATCAATATTTCAAATATATAGATATCGAGTGCATCAATGAATTCATGGATTTTTCAAAATAAGTGGAACGTTATGATATCATATAACAGCTCTTTCATTGATAATTTCTACAAATCACTCTACTACATAGAGACAATCAAGGACATTATGTCTGAGGATGACATGCTGACCTTCTTCACTTATGAAAAGAACTCACTGAAAAGATCTGTCAACAAGAAATTGGCTAAAAATATTGATTTCAGTGATAATGTTGACAATTTCTTAAATGTTAAACCAGAAGTGCATAGCGAGAATCAAGTCAATTTCATGCAAAGACTCTGTAACTTTTTGGAAGGTACTTCTAACCACAAACAAACTTTGGAGATGCTACAGAGTAAAGAAACCAAGAATCTTATGATTGCCTTCACCTCTAGGAAGGAATGGGATTCTGTTTTTAGTATGCCTTCGAATAACTTTTAGATCGAGATACATGTAAGTTTATTGAGAGACTCAAAATTCCTATAAAAGAAGCCAAGAATGCTTCCGATAGTAGGCTGGGAACACCTGCTCCAGATACTTTTACCAGTAACGAAGGAAGTGTCTCTGAATCAGAGTCTAAAGAGAGCGATGAAAGCTCTGAGAGTGAAGTTGACCAAACTTCTTATCACATGTGTGTCATAATCATAATCTTCCCTGATGACCCAACTTTTGATTGCGAATTCAAAGAGAAAAAGCCATTGCCTGACAAAAGTCAAGCCTCAAAATCTAAGTCTATTTTTGATGAAGATATTTCTGATGAGAATCATGAACCCTCGTTTAAAGGGCGTGATCCAAATAAACCTTTGGACTACTTAGAAGGTATCTTTGTCTGACAACCATAGACTGCATTAATGACAAGGAATACCCTATCACACTCATTGAGATTAACAACCAAGAAAACACCATTGACTCAGCAGTTAGCTTTGTAAGGATCCAAGTCATTTGTAGGTCAAGGAGTTTATCAAAGCATCCAGACATGTGCCTTACAGGTTGGGATTTGAACAAATCGATATTGTGAAGTAGATGCACAAAGTTCTGAATAAAAGTTATTAATGACATCTTAGTTCAAATTATATGTCCTCCGGGGTTTTGGGGTTTTGGGGTTTTGGGGTTTTGGGGTTTTGGGG